AGACTTTTTTCTAAACCAAATGGTCCGAATTTTTCTACAGATCCTTTATCCATTATTTTTGTAGTTTGAGCACCTAAATATAAAACAGGTCCTGATATATATTTATTATAAAACATTTCTACTAAAAACCGTTGATTAAGAAAGCCAAATATATTATAACCTAAATTAGATAATTTGAATTTCATAAGTAATCTAGGATAAAACTCTGTGAATAATATAGAAACAATGCTAAGTGTAACAGTAAAGAATAAAGGTAATAATTTATAAAAAGTAGGAACAGCGAATTCAGTATCTAACATAATTTCATGTTTAGGGTGTATAAATAAACTATTATCAGAAAAGAAATCAGATCCTAAACCTATAAATATATCTTTAGTAATATAACCAAAGAATATAGAGAATACGGCTAAAATAATTAAAGGTAAACTCATAAATATATCACCTTCGTGTGCAGCATGAGCTTGTTTATAATTTACTATAGGTCCATTAGGATTACTTAAAAAAGTTAAATATAAGACTTTAACTGAATAAAGTGTAGTAAACATTGCACCTATAGTTGCAATATAATAAACTGCAATACTAGAAATGTAATATTTACCAAATGCAGATTCAATAATAAAATCTTTTGAATAAAAACCAGTCATAAAAGGAAAAGCTACTAAACTAAGAGAAGCTATTAACATAACTGAATAAGTTAGAGGTAAATAAGATATTAGACCTCCATATTTTCTAAAATCTTGGTTATCTGCAACTGCATGTATTACTGCTCCTGCACCTAAAAATAATAAACCTTTATAAAAAGCATGATTTACTAGATGAAATAAGGCAATATTATATGAAGATAAACCAACTGCTATAACCATCATACCTAATTGACTCATAGTAGAATAAGCTATAACTTTTTTTATATCTTGTTGAAATAAACCTATAAGAGAACTAAACACTGTTGTTATTGCCCCTAATCATAAACATAATAATAATACTAGCGAACTATATTCTATTAAAGGAGATACTCTTATTAATAAATATACACCAGCTGTAACCATAGTTGCTGCATGTATTAAAGCAGATACTGGTGTAGGACCTTCCATAGCCATAGGTAATCATACATGTAAACCAACTTGAGAACTTTTAGCCATAGCACCTATTAATAAACATATACCAATAATAATAATAACATTTTCACTATAAAAGGGTGCTAATGAAAATACTGTATTATAATCTAAATTACCATATGATCATAATATAGCAAACATACCAATTGTTAAAAAACAATCTCCAACTCTATTAGTTAAAAATGCAGAAATAGAACTTTGATTAGCTGCTATTCTTGTAAATCAAAAACTAACTAATAAGTATGAACATACTCCTACACCTTCTCATCCTACAAACATTAATAAAAAATTATCTGCTGTAACTAATATAATCATCATAAAAGTAAATAAACTTAAATAACTGAAAAATCTTTGATTGTGTGGATCATGACTCATATATCCTATTGAATATAGATGCACTACTGAAGATACTATTAATACAGGTATTAACATTGATACTGTTAAACTATCAAAATTAAAACTTCATTTTATATTTAGTGATTCTGCATCTATTCATCTAAATAATTCTATTTTAACAGGTATTTGATTTAATCCCACTTCTATAAAAGCAATTATTGCTAAAATTGTTGTTATTATTACACAAGTACATGTTATTATACGTGCTCCACTAACTCCGATTTTTCTTCCAAAAAAACCGGAAACTATTGATCCTAATATAGGTAAAATTATTAAAGCTAGATACATTATTTATATTCTATTGCTATACTTCCTCTTAATCTATAATATGCTACTAAAATACCTAAACCTATTGCTGATTCCGCACCAGCTATAGCTATTATATATATAGAAAGAGTTTGACCTAATATATCATCAAAGCTTAATGAACTTATTAATATTAAGAATGTAATTGATAATAACATTATTTCAATTGAAATAAGCATTAGTATTATATTTTTTCTATTTAAGACAAAACCTAATACTCCAATTAAATATAAGATTAGTGAAAAACTCATTAAATATTTTTAGATTAAATTATGGTATTGGATAATTTATGAAAAACAATTATTAAAAATCGATTTATTATTTTTATAATTAAATTAAGTTTTAATTTAATTTAATTGAATTTTACGGTCATTCAAATTTATTTAATAAAATATATTTATTCAAAAATTTTTTTATAAAAAATGTATCAAAATAAAATATAAAATACTAAAGAACTAAAAAAATAGAAACTAAAAAATAACATTTCTTGTTATTAATTTAATCTATATAAAAAAAGGCGATATTAACGAAATATAAGAATGCTAAAATTTTTACTTTATAGACTGGAAAAGGTCATCAAAAAATATATTTATATTAACCTTCAATTTGATCATAAAGTCAGAATAAAAATTTTGGAAGAGAAGTAGATTGTATTGCTATTGGCATAGAGCTATGTAGAATACCACAAATTTCTGAACATTGACCATAGAAAGTACCTTCTCTATTTAAATATACAGATGATTGATTTAATCTTCCAGGGTAAGCATCACATTTAATACCTAATGATGGACAAGCATAAGAATGTATAACATCTGCTGCTGCTACTACAAATCTAGTATGAGTTAATTCTGGCATTATAACTCTGTTATCAACTTCTAATAATCTTAATTGTCCTAATTCTAAATCACTTTCTGGTATTATATATGAATCATATTCAATTGTTTCTTCATCAGCGTTTACAAAATCTGGGTATTGATAACTTCAATATCATTGATGACCTTCACCATATATAACTAATGCAGGATCAATAACTTCATCCATTAAATATAATAATTTAAATGAAGGGAATGCAATTAATATTAATATAAGAGCAGGTGTAATAGTTCAAATTAATTCTACTAAAGTACCATGATTTACATATTTATTTGATATTTTTTTATTTTTGAAATTCATAACTATAGATACCATCATTCAACTTACGGCAAATAAGATTATTGCTAAATAAAACATAATACTATTATGTAATTCTTCTATACCTTCCATTTGAGGTGCCGCGTTATCTTGAAAAAATATACCTCAGGGTTCTGGAGTATCATTTTTTATTATATTTATATTTAAATAATTACTATTTTTGAACATATTCATATTAATATATAATTAAAACCAATTTTATAAGTAAGATTAAAAAGGAAAAATGTAAATTTATGATAATTTTAGTTTTGAATACTAATTTTTAAGAAAAAATTATATATAATAATTTTACAATAGTTTATATATAATTTATATTGTATAATAAATAAAATGTATAATAGTGTAAACCATCTAATATTATAGAAGGATATATACCTAGTAGTATAGTAAATAGTACCAATACAATTAACATAAAAAATTCTCTTCTGTTTAAATCTGGTATATATTCAAATCAGTATTTAAAAAAGAAAGAACCTGCAAAACATATTCTATTAAACATAAATATAGTATAAGCTGCAGAGAAAACAATAGATGAAGAAGCTAAAATACCTGCAAGAGGTAATCTTTCAAAAACACCATATAAAGACATGAATTCTCCAACAAAATTTAATGTAAGAGGAGCACCACAATTACCTAAAGATAGCATAAAGAATAATATAGATAAAATAGGCATAACTTGAGCAATACCTCTATAATAAGTTATTAATCTAGTACCAGATCTATCATATAATACACCTCCTGCTATAATAAATAAACCAGAAGACACAAAACCATGAGCTAAACCTAAACAAATACCACCTTGTATTCCTTGTAAAGTATTACTAAAAACACCTGACAAGTAAACAGCCGCATGTGATACAGATGAATAAGCTATTAATTCTTTTACATCTATGGTTCTAAGTGTACTTAGACTAGCATATATTATAGTTAGAATACCTATAAGAAATACAATGTAAGTATAATATAAAAAAGCCTTAGGTAATAAAGGTAAAATTAATCTAAAAATACCGTATAAACTTAATTTTAACACTATTGCAGCTAAGATAATACTACCCGATAAAGGTGATTCAACATGAGCTTTCAATAATCAACTGTTTAAATAAATAGTTGGTGTTTTAACTGCAAAAGCTATAAATATACCAATAAACATAAATACTTGTGTAATGTATAAGAAATTTGTTTTTGATAAAACATTAAAGTCAGTACAACCTATTAAAGATTGCATAGTTATAATAGATAGTAACATAAATAAAGAACCTAGAAATGTGTATAAAAAAAAATAAAAACTTGCTCTTATTTTAGCACTAGATCCAAATATACCAATAAAAATAAATAAAGGGGCTAGTATACTTTCAAAAAATATATAAAACATTAAAATATCTAAAACTAAAAAAATTAATAATAATAATGCTTCTAATAATAAAATTATTACTAAAAAGTATTTTACTTTATTATCGATAGATTTTCAATTAGATATAATTGCTATTGGCATAATTAATGTAGTTAATAATATAAAATATATAGATAATCCATCTATACCTAGATAAAAATCATAATAACCAATTTTATAGTGTTCTTGTACAAATTGAAAATGTTTACTACTATTATTAAATAATAATCATATTATTAAAGATACTACTAAATCTATTATTGTAATGGCTAAGGCAAATGTTTTAAGAATTTTTGAGTTTTCATTTAAGTCATAAGAATTATATGATAAAATCAAAAATATACCAATAAAAGGTATTAAAATTAAAGTAGATAATAACATTTAAAATAAAAAATAAACAAAAATTTACTACAGATTATAAGTTACATAAATACTAAACTAAACAGAAAATAAAAATTTATTAATCAAAAATAGATTTTTATTATAATAAAAATATTATACTAATATGCTGCATATGATTCCTCGATGACTTGAACATCGAAGATATTCTTATCAAGAATACGCTTTACCTATTAAGCTAAGGAACCGATTAACTAAAAATAACAAGAGCACTCAGACTTGAACTGAAAACATGAAGTTTGAAGCTTCTTATTTTACCAATTAAACTATACTCTTAATAAAACGGAAAAGAGGTGAGTTGAACACCTACATGTTATACATAATATTTAGCAAATATCTTACCCTACCAGTGGAGACTTTTCCTAAATAATACGAATTAGACCGGTTTCGATCCGGCATCATTTTCCTCGACAAGGAAACAGTTTACCAATTAACATTACTAATTCTTTACGGCTAGCCAAATTCGAAATGGCACAATTCGTTTGGAAGACGAACGGTCTACCATTAACCTATAGCCGTTTTATATTAAAATATCGGAGCACTATGGTTCGAACATAGAAAATCCTCAACCCAAATGAAGCGCCTAACCAACCTGGCTCTACTCCGTTTACCAGGAGAGAAATTTGAATTCTCATTGTTAATGCATGAAATTAAAGTTCTAACCAATTAAACTATCCTGGCTTGTATATTCCTATTTAAGATTCGAACTTAAATCAAGATATTAGAAATATCATGCTCTGCCATTGAGCTAATAAGAAAATAGGAGAGAAGAGATTCGAACTCTTAAAAGCATAGTACTATTGAGTTTACAGCTCAACCCTTCTTACCAATAAAGGAACTCTCCTAATATATCATTTATTAAGGCCTAAAGGATTCGATCCTTTATTATAGCGATTAAAAGTCGCATGTTTTACCAGTTAAACTAAAGCCTCTTTTGCTAACTAAAAAATTTTCGATATATAATAGCAAAAAAATGTATTGTACTTTTATTAATATTTTTGTTTAATAGTAATAACTATAGAACCTACCATAGCTAATAATAAAATTATAGATGTAATTAATAATCAAATAGAATAATTAGTATACATAACATTACCTATACTAGTTATATCTATTATATCCACAATATTATTATCTCAATTATTAGATGATACAAAAAATATATTTGTAATATCATAAGTTAAATTAGTTTTTGTATAAGGAGATAAGTTATTATAAGGAATAAATAAAGCTAAGATAACTAATATAGCTAAAGGTATATTATTGTTAGTATTACTAATAAGTTCCGAAACTCTAATATTTATAAGCATTAAAATAAATAGAAATAATATTGAGACAGCACCAACATATACTAAAAGATAAGATAGACCAATAAAATTTATACCTAAAAATATAAGATAACATGAAATACATGAAAATAACATTATTAAATGTAAAACAGATATTATTGGATTTTTACTTATTATTATAAATATACCAGCAAATATAGATAAAACAATAATTAAATCTAAAAATATCACAAAAAAACCATAAAATTGATTAGATATAAAAAACATAAAAAAAAAAGAAAATCTTAAAAAGAAAATAGAAATTTTATATAGGAATTGAACCTATATTATGTTAGACCAATTAAATTTTATATTAGATAAAAATAGACAAAAAACTTAATATCTTTAATCAACACCCTTATCATTAAAGGGATTAAATTCCTGAGGTTGATTATCTATAAAATCATTTGTAGGTGTTCTTTATATATGTAATCCACCTGAAGTTGGTCTAACAATTACACCTTTATGAAGAACTATATATATCTGAAATTTATTCAAAATATCTTCTAGAAAGTATCCCTTTTCTATCTTAAATAATTACACTTAAAGACATTAAATCTATATTTTGTACATCTTCAGAACTTAGATTTATCAATTCATTGTTATTACCTTTAAAAATATCTTTGTACTTTTTTCTTAAATCAATATAAGCTTAAAAATTAAATTATTTAGGATTATCTCCATTAATTAAGGCTCTAATAGCAGTTATAGCTTTAATTAACAAATCATTATGTTTATCTAATTCTTTGGTAATATCTTTTTTTATTACTTATTATTTTAAAGCCTTATCATCTGCAGTATTTCAAGGTTTAGATATTTTATATTTATAAAATATATGTTTTATAAAATCCATTAAAAATATAACCAAAAAAAAAAATTATAAGTAAATAAGATTTTATATAGAAGCTTAATAAAAGAAATTTTATTAAAAGTGACATGTTTTTTTAAAGGACTTGTGCAATAAAAAAACAACATATGTTTTTTAGGAATCGAACCTAAATAAATACCAAAAACTATGATGTAGACAAAAGTCTACCAAATATAATACTATATTTAATTTTTAATGTTAATGCATCCCGTGCAATTTCCATTACACGAACCATATTTCGACTTAACACCAATAAAAGTCACGCATACGAAAATTACAAATTTAAAAATTTACAACTATTAAAGTAAAAATAAAATAAATAAGTAACCAAACTTATTGCGCATACTTCTTTCAGCGCCTGACGAGTGGTTAGTACCCATCTGAGATAAAATTCACCGTGACGTGGTGATTCACGATTACTAGTAATTCCTTATTCATGTAGTCGAATTTCAGACTACAATCCACAAATAGTTATATCCAATTTTATGGGATTAGCTCCATTTTACAATATTGCATCCCTTTGTAGAGGTATATGTGGCACGTCTATAGCCCACGCTATTAAGGCCATGATGACTTGTCTTGGTCCCTGTTATTATTTCCATTTATAGAAAAACACTCTAAATATAAATAAAGCTAGGGTTTTCGTTAATTAAAGGAATTAACCAAAATCTCACGACATTAACTGAAGACAGCCGTGCAGCACTTGTATAAAAATATTCAAGGCGTGGTAAGGTTTTTCGCGGATCATCGAATTAAATAACATACTTCACTACTGGTTTCAGAAACGGTCTAATGATTTCAATTTGTGCATTTCCGCCTTAGTCATGAGGTGGAGTGCTTACACTTTCATTTATAGGCCAAATTTATCTAGCCTATGGCACTCATCATTTTCTCCAAGGACTACTAGGGTATCGAATCCTTATCGCTACCCAAGGCTTCGTCCCTCAACGTCAGTTTTTACTTAGAATAAAGCCTTCGCCGTTACCCGTCCTACCAGTATAATAGGATTTTGTCCCTCCTCTGGTAATTCGTATATTCCCACATAAAACTCTAGAAAACTAGTTCCTATTAAGGCTTGGTAATCTGTCTAGGTACCCTTTATACCAATTAAAGATGAATAACACTTGTCTTTTACGTATTACCGCGACTGCTGGCACGTAATTTGGTCAAGACTTATAGATAAAAAATCGTCATTCTCTTTATTTTATCTAGAACTTTATACGACTTTCATTTTCCATTCTTCCAAGTTGCTGGTTCAGTCTTTCGACTATTGACCAATATTCCCCACTGCTGTACAATTCTGCCCTGGGCTTTTTTCAGACCCAGTGTGGTCGATCGACCTCTCAGTCTCGACTACCAGATTTTGAGCTAGATTTTTTCTATTACTCATCCAGAATATCTATTAACATCTTAAAGCGAATTTTTATCTATCTTTTTTTTATAAGGGATTTTTTTTCTTCCTTACTTTAAGGTAGTTATAAGATAATTTACTCACCTGTACACCACTTCATAATTAATTAATATATAATAACTATATATTAATTAAATTAGACGTTTGATTAGCATGTGTCAAGCATTTGGATAGCGTTCATTCAGAGCCATCATCAAACTCAATTTATTATACTACTAGACTTATTGTATCTTTTTATTAGAGTATTTAGATTTGAACTAAATTTATACCTAAAAAATTCTTTTATTTTATTAATAAATAGGTATTTGATATAAGCTAGCTCTTGTTAATTTATACATATCCTTAATACAGCTAAATATATATCTCTTTTTTCGTTTTTTATTCATTTTCTACTTATCATAAGAACTTATACTCTTATTAATTTTTTTTTTAATTTATATTTATTTAGCTCTAACTTTCCTATCCTATATTTAAAATAGTAATGTATAATTTATTATTTTAATATTTATTAATGTAAATCTAGACTATCTTTAATATATGATGAAGATAATACTACAAACACTTGTGCTTGAATAAATGCTATTCCTATTTCTAGTCCTGAGAAAGCTAGAATAAATAATAATGGCACTAATCCTAAAAAGAAGTATATAAAACCTGATTTCATAATATTATATGTAAATCCTGCTAAAATGTTAAGAAGCATATGACCACTTAAAATATTAGCTCCTAATCTTAGACCTAATGATACAGGTCTTGATAAATATGAAATAAATTCTATTAATACTAATAAAGGTAATAAACCTAATGGACAACCAGATGGTACTAATAATGAGAAGAATTTTAAAGAATGTACTTGGAAACCTAAAATAGTTGCTCCTATTACAATTGTAAAACTAATTGAGAATGTTAATACAAAATGTGATGTTGGTGCGAAACTATAAGGTACCATACCTACTAAATTATTTATTAATATATAAATAAATAAAGCAGATATTAAAGGGAAAAACATTTGACCTTTTTTTGCATTTATTTGATTTATTACTATACTAAAAACTGTAGCATATATAGATTCCATTGATATTGATCAATTATTTGGTGTAATAATATTATAATTTGTTGCTAATATATACATCATAAATACTATAATTGTTGTTATTATCAAATATAATCCTATATTAGTTAAAGATAATTGTATATTTCCTAATAAATCTGCTTTTATACTAAGTAAATTTCTTATGGTGAATTGATCCAAAGGACTTTTGTTTAAGTAAGTCACTAGATATTTATGTATTTTTTGTTGTTTGTAAAAGATAAAAATCTTAATTAATATCTTTTATATTGTTGTGTTTTTATTTGATTCTAAAGTTTTTAAAAATATTCGAGTTTTAAATAATCGCACAAATCTTGGTAATATATATTTAGAAAATAAATATATTATAATTATTAACAATAGAAAATTATAAGTAACTTGATTTACAAAAAAAAATGGTATAAGTTGTGGCATTAAATTATTGATTCAAAAATAAATATATAAATTTATTATACAATATATGTTAATTAAGTTTAAACCTACTATAAAGGAATACGGAAGATTCGAACTTCTTCTTAATGATCTGCAATCATAAGGCAAAACCTTTTGCTTCATATTCCTTAAAAATTAATAATAATAA